TAGTCAACTGAAGTTACAATATTAGTTAACTGAAGTTGCAACTTTAGTCAACTGAAGTTATAACTTTTGTTGACTAAAGTTGTAATTATAGTTAACTAAACTTACAATTTTAGTTGACTAAAGTTACAACTTTAATTAACTGAAGTTATAACTTTAGTCAACTGAAGTCACAACTTTAGTCAACTGAAGTCACAATTTTAGTCAGCTGAAGTTATAACATTAATTAACGAAGTTGCAACTTTAGTCAACTAAAATTGTAATTTTTGTTACTAAATTTATAATTATAGTTGAATAAAGTTACAACTTTAGTTGACTAAAGTTGCAACTTTAGTTAACTAAAATCACAACTTTAGTCAACTGAAGTTACAATATTAGTTAACTGAAGTTGCAATATTAGTTAACTAAAGTTGTAACTTCTGTTAACTAAAATTATAATATTAGTCAAGAAAGTTACAACTATAGTTAACTGAAATTACAACTTTAGTCAACTGAAGTTACAACTTTAGTCAACTAAAGTTGTAACTTTAAACAACTATAATTATAAATTTAGTCAACTGAAGTTACAATTTCAGTTGACTAAAGTTGCAACTTTAGTTAACTAATGTTATAATTTCAGTTGACTAAAGTTGTAACTTTAGTTGACTAAAGTTGTAACTTCAGTTAACTATAGTTGTAACTTTATTAACTAGTATTATAATTTTAATTAACAGAAATTATAACTTCAGTTAACTAAAGTTGCAACTTCAGTTAACTAATGTTGTAACTTCAGTTAATTAAAGTTGTAACTTCAGTCAACTATAGTTATAACTTTATTGACTAGTATTATAATTTTAGTTAACAGAAGTTACATCTTCAGTTGACTAATGTTGCAATTTTAGTTAACTAATGTTGTAACTTCAGTTGACTAAAGTTGTGATTTCAGTTAACTAAAGTTGCAACTTTAGTCAACTAAAGTTGTAATTTTAGTCAACTATAATTATAAATTTATTTAACAGCAGTTACAACTTCAGTTGACTAAAGTTGCAACTTCAGTTAACTAATGTTATAACTTCAGCTAACTAAAGTTGTGATTTTAGTTGACTAAAGTTGTGACTTCAGTTAACTAAAGTTATAACTTCAGTTAATGAAAGTTGTAACTTTAGTCAACTAAAATTGTAACTTTAGTCAACTATAATTACAACTTTAGTTAACAAAAGTTATAATTTCAGTTGACTAAAGTTGCAACTTCAGTTAACTAATATTGTAATTTTAGTTGACTAAAGTTGTAACTTCAGTTGACTAAAGTTATAACTTCAGTCAACTATAGTTGTAATTTTATTAACTAGTATTATAGTTTTAGTTAACAGAAGTTATAACTTCAGTTAACTAAAGTTGTAACTTTAGTTAACTAATGTTGTAACTTCAGTTGACTAAAATTGTGACTTTAGTTAACTAAAGTTGCAACTTTAGGCAACTAAAGTTATAATTTCAGTTGACTAAAGATGTAATTTTAGTTGACTAAATTTGTAATTTCAGTTAACTAAAATTGTAACTTTAGTTGACTAAAGTTATAACTTCAGTTAACTAAAGTTATAACTTCAGTTGACTAAAGATATAATTTTAGTTGTCTAAAGTTGCAATTTTAGTTAACTGAAGTCACAACTTCAGTTGACTAAAGTTATAACTTTATTAACTAAAGTTGTAACTTCAGTTGACTAAAGTTGTAACTTTAGCTGACTAAAGTTATAACTTTAGTTAACTAAAGTTATAACTTCTGTTAACTAAAATTATAATACTTGTTAATAAAGTTACAACTATAATTGACTGAAGTTACAACTTTAGTCAATTGAAGTCACAAGTTTAGTCAACTGAAGTTACAATATTAGTTAACTGAAGTTGCAACTTTAGTTAACTAAAGTTGTAACTTTTGTTGACTAAAGTTGTAATTATAATATTAGTTAATTGAAGTTGTAACTTCAGTCAACTGAAGTTATAACTTTTGTTGACTAAATTTATAATTATCATTGACTAAAGTTACAACTTTAGTTGACTAAAGTTGCAACTTTAGTTAACTGAAATCACAACTTTAGTTAACTGAAGTTACAACATTAGTTAACTAAAGTTGCAATATTAGTTAACAGAAGTTGTAACTTCTGTTAACTAAAATTATAATTCTAGTCAATAAAGTTACAACTACAGTTAACTGTAGTTATAACTTTAGTCAACTGAAGTTACAACTTTAGTCAACTGAAGTTACAACTTTAGTCAACTAAAGTTGTAACTTTAGTTAACTATAATTATAAATTTAGTCAATAGAAATTACAACTTTAGTTGACTAAAGTTGCAACTTCAGTTAACTAATGTTATAATTTTAGTTGACTAAAGTTGTAACTTCAGTTGACTAAAGTTATAACTTCAGTTGACTAAAGTTATAACTTCAGTCAACTAAAATTGTAACTTTAGTCAACTATAGTTACAACTTTAGTCAACAAAAGTTACAACTTCAGTTGACTAAAGTTGTAACTTCAGTTAACTAATATTGTAGCTTTAGTTGACTAAAGTTTTTACTTCTGTTAACTAAAATTGTAATTATAGTTGACTAAAGTTACAACTTTAGTTGACTAAAGTTGTAACTTTAGTTAACTATAATTTTAACTTTTGTTACAATTTTAGTTAACTAAAGTAGTAACTTTATTTAACTAAAATTGCAATATTAGTAAACTAAAGTTACAAGTTTAGTTAACTATAATTATAACTTTAGTTAACTAAAGTTACAATTTCAGTTGACTAAAGTTGTAACTTTAGTTGACTAAAGTTGTAATTTTAGTTAACTATAATTACAACTTTTGTTAACTAAAGTTGCAACTTTATTTAACTAAAATTGCAATATAAGTAAGCTAAACTTACAACTTTAGTCAACTGAAGTTGTAACATTAGTCAACTAAAGTTACAACTTTAATTAACTAAAGCTGTAATTATAGTTGACTAAACTTGTAACTTTAGTTTACTAGTATTGCAATTTTAGTTAAATAAAGTTGCAACTTTAGTTAACTAAAGTTGTTATTAAGTAAATTTTTAGTTAAAATTAGTAATAAAAAAGAAAAACCTATAAATTATTTTATTTATTGAATAAGATAATTTACAAGTTTTTCCTTTTTATTATTCAAATAATAACTAAATTTTTTATTTAGTAATAAATATATGTATTATTTAATCATATCAAGTTTTAGAGGCCTGCATGGGCCAGGCCAAAATTTTAAAATTTTAAAAACCTCTCAAAAGTGCGAACCTGATAAGATATAAACATAGTAAAATGCAAGCCAAACTTTCAAAAAACATAGTAAATTTTATTTTACAGGCCGAGCAGGGCAGCAAAAGTCCAAATTTTTAGACCTGTGCAGGTCTCTATCAAGTTTATAATTATTATAACTTATACTATAAATAATTTGCTAAAATTTGAAATAAAATAGCTTTAAAGTTAAATTTATTATTAAAGAATATATATAAATTTTTGCACGACTTATAATTTTAAATAAAATTCTAATTTAACATTAGTTATAATAATAGTTTTTAAAATAAATAGTTTATAATTTTAATGTTTAGTAAATAGATTTGTTATTTTAGTAATAAATAGATTTATAATTTTATTAATACGTTTATAATTTTTTTGATAATAGGTTGTAACTTCATAATAAAAATATTAATTATTTTAATAGTAGGTAATTTTAAAATTTAAATAATAATAAAATAGTTAGTAATTTTAATTTTTAGTAAAATTTTGATTTTAAAAACAAATAGATAAGATACTATAAATAGTTTTAATATTTAATAAATTTATAATTAGTTTATAATTCAATACAAAATTCTAATTTATATTCTATTTTTATTTATTAAATTTATATATTTACCTTAGTAGACATTTAATTATAATTATATTTTGATTGTTTAATTTTTTATTAAAAATTTAGTTGTTATTAATTAATAAATTATTTAAAGTATAATATTCAGTACAAAGTGTTATATATAGTTATAAATGCAAATTTATTATTTTTATAAAGAGAATTATCTTTTATATAAATTTTTATTAATCAATAATTATTATTTTATTAGCTACTAAAATATCAAATAAAAAATAAAAAATTTTAAAACTATATATTTAAATTTAAATTAGATTACAGATTTAAATATCTAAAATTATTTCTTTATTATTATTTATTATTACATATTTAATTATATTTATACTTTAAATATTCTATAATACAATTGCTAATATTAATTAAAAGAAAAAATTTTTTTATAATACCAACTTGTAATTTGTTTTTTATTAATATTTATGATGTTATTACAATTTCATATTTATATTTGTATTATCATATTACTATATACTAGTTATCTAATATAACATTATATTTACACTTTTCTATTCTATTATTAGAACTATAATATTCTAATTATTATTACTAATTAAGATAAAGCTGTAGCCACTTTGTTATACTATATTCTCTAATTCTATCTAATTTTTAATTCATCTATCTATTTCTTGCAATAATCTTTCTCTTTTTTCAATTTAGTTTGATGATTTCTTGTTCAAAAAAAATTAAATTATAATTTATCATTATATAAAATCTAAATAATATAATTTTAGTTACAATATATATATATTTAAATTTAAAAATTTTATATTTTTAAATTTTTAAGTTTACATATTTATACAAAAAATTTAAACTAAAAATTTAAAAATAAAACTATTGTTAATAAAAAATAAAAATAAAAACTATTTAAAAAAAATAAAATAAACAAATTTTATAAAAAAAAGTTAAAAATTTAAAAATTTAAAAAAATATTTTTTTTTAAAAAAAAAAAAAAAAAAAAAATTAAAAATATAAAATTTTTTTAATTTAAAAATAAAAACTATTTTATATTTTTAATATAAACAATATCTATAAATTAATTTAATTTAGTAATAAATTTTTATATAAAATATAATAATTATTTAATAATAAATCTTACCAAAATAAATTTTACTTATTATTACAATCTTTTCCTAAATGACATTTTTTAATACAAAGCAAATTTTTTCTTTTGCATGTACATTTTTTGTTAATACATTTAGATTTATAAGAACATCCTTTTTGTTCTATTAAATTTTTAAGTTTAGTATTTAATTGTTTAGCTGCAGATCTTAATGGAATTTTAAAATTTGGAATATGTAATAAATCAGGAAATTCTTTACCATTTACTTTTTCTAAATCATTATTTTTATAATAATTTTTTAAAATTCCAAATGAACATCCAACTTGGTAAGAATTATTTTTAATTTTCATAATTTTAACAATAATAAATTTTGGTGAAAGGCTTGATGGACGATCAATTTTAGGAATTTTAATTTTAGCAATATCTCCAATTTTATAATTTTTATAAGAAGGTTTAATTTTTGCCATCATTTCATTTTTTAATGTTTTTTGATAATTATTATTAATTTCTCTCATTTTTTTTAATTTTTCTTCTCTTTCTTTTTGGTGATTTATAAATGTTTTACTACTTTCTGAAATAATTTCATTTTCCAAATCTAATTCATCATTAAAATCTAAAGTATCTTCTTCTGAAATTATTTCAATTTCTAAAAATTATTATAATAAATATTAATATTATTATTATTAAATTATTATTATTAAATTATTAAAATTTTTTAATTTTATTTTTACCTTTAGAATTATAAGAAAAATTACTTTCATTAATACTAGTAGTAGTACTTTTATTATCAGTACTAATATTATTATAATTATTATTATCATCATAATTATAATTATAATTATCATTATAATTATTATTATTATTATTATTATCAGTATAATTATTATTACTATTATCATTATTATCATTATTATCATCATCATTATCACTATTATTATCATCATCATTATCATCATCATCATCATCATTATCATTATTATTATCATCATCATCATCATTATCACTATTATTATCATTATCATTCTTATCATCATTATCATCATCATCATTATCATCATCATCATCATCATCATTATTATCATCATTATCATCATCATCATCATCATTATCATCATCATCATTATCATCATCATCATTATCATTATCATCATTATCATTATCATCATTATTGTCATTATCATCATCATTATTATCATTATTATTATTAGTACTATCAGAATTATTATTTTTACTACTAATAATAAATTCTTCATTATAGTTATTCTGTTCTTGTAATTCATCATCTTCCGTTATTAAATATTTAAACTAAAAATTATTTAAATTAATTTTTATTTTTTAAATTATTTAAATATTAATTTTATTTATTATTAACTAAATAAACTTACTGATTTTGATTGAATATCTTCAATCCATATTGATAATTTTTTATACTAATAATTTAGTTCATTTTGAGGATATTTACTATATTTTTTCATATTTTCAATTTGGTTAAAAGTTGTTTTCATATCTTTAATTTTTATTTCTTTACAATATTTATTTGTTAAACCAAAATGATTTTCCAGCTTCTTTTTACTTGTTTCCATTCAATTGTAAATTTTGGTGTTTTTTTAAAAAAATCAATATCATTATTAATTTTTTGATTTAAATTAACTATTTTTGGTTTCTAAAATAAATTAAAAATAATAAATTTATAATATATTATAATTAATAATATTTTATAATAAAATTATAATTACTTACTATTTTTTTATTATTGGATTTTTTATTTGAAATATTATTAATATCAAAAAATTCATTTTCAGTTTCATTATTATTTGATAAATCTATATATTTAATAAAAATTAATTATTTTTAATATTAGATAAATTTAATTATAAATTTTATAATTTACACGGAGAACCAAGTTTATGACAGCCAGACTCAACGTACAGAGCAGGCTATGGAACTCTTTGCAGCTGTGAGAGCCGAGCATACGGTGATCGAATTTACAGAGGAACCTTTCACTTCCTTGAATCCCATTGCATCATCACACTTCAAGGAAACACTACAAGACCCATCATACAATACATTAGTTGATCCAGACACATGCTATAACAAATGGCTAGCCCATCAAGGCCTACCTTTACTTCCACATCCACAAACTCTTTATTCCTTTCTTGAACACATACATTCTTACAATTATATACTACTTAATATTTACAACTTTACACTAGCAATATCAATTAAACTAGACTATAGTGAATGCTTAATACACTTATCAAATAAACCAAAACCTTTATCTGAACACTTTATTCTACAACAATCTGGTTATAGATTCTATTCATCAATACCTAGTTCTTTAAAATATTCTTCAATACTTAATAACACACAATATACCAAACCTGTTCTTGAAAATAATGCTATAAATTACACTTATCTACAGCTAGTAGAAACTCTTCTATCTGGCTATAATGATACTGTCATTGTCAATGAACACTATGGCTCTATACAACTTCATATATGCTATAATAAATTCCTAGCCTATAACCATCTTCTACTACTCCTACATCCACAAACAATTGTCTCTTTCTTACAACATATTTATAGTTTTAATTACTTATCAAGTAATGCTTGTAATTATATCTTAACTATTTCTATTAAAAATGATTATAGTGAAGCCTATGTTTATTTTCCATGTGAGCCTAAACCTTTATCTAATCATTTTATACTACTACTTCAAGCTATTTGGCATTATCCAAACATTTACTAAAATCAAATTCAACACAAGATAATTCTTTTAACTTAACAAACCATACTCAACAATATTTACACCAAACTTATTATCTCTTATACTCTCAATACGACTACAACAAACTTTATCTTCTTCTATTCCTTTATTATCACTTTCAACCTTACTACTATACCTATCTCAAACTCCTATATCTATGCAAAACCTGCGAGACCTTCATTTAAACATTGCAACACATAATGTTTGAGGATTTAATACAATAACCAAAAAAGAAACATGCCAAAACTACTGTCTTTACAATAACATTGATATTGCCTGTATTACTGAAACAAAAATCACCAATACTACTAATCTTTATTTTTGCAACAATAATCTGTTCATCTATTTTTGGGCAAACTCTGAGGATTCTGCAGAAGGTGCTGCTATTATGATTCATAACTACCTTCAACCACATGTACACAACTGTCAAATACATGCTGGAGAAGCAGTAGCTTTAGACCTCTTTTTCAAAAATAAAATTAAACTCTGTATTATAGAAGTTTATCTCTTTGCTACTGATACATATTGATATAACAAAACACAAGAAACAGTTATTTCATGGATTCAATAAGCCTACCAACTTAACCTCCATCCAATTATCCTTGGTGACTTTAATACACATGATGATATTCATAGCTCATCATCTAAATTTCAACTAACTAACTACTTACATTAAACCAACATATATGACCTTGGGGCATATGTTGATAACAAACATTATACATGATCAAAAAATAATAGTCAAAGCTGTATTGACTATATATGAACTGATTTATTTAATTTACAGTTTTTCATTTCATATAGTCTTGA